TGCCCGAGGAGCTGCTGCTCCGGCTGTCCAGGGAGGTGTCGCTCTCAGGGGCCTGGGGAGGAGGGGTGGGCAAACAAAAACACAATTAGCCATGATTACAGAAAAAATGGGGAAAACTCCCGTTCCTCTCTCTCTTCTGCTGGGAAGGGCAATGCTATGGTTTGAGTGGACTGGGCAAATTGTTGACACCTGTAAGAGGAACTAGAGAGGGTCTTCAAGGACACCAAGGGCCCTGGGAGGGTCAGAACAGAGAGGGATCAGTATTCCATCCCACTTCCTGCCATATCCCATAAAAGCCAGGAGAACTGGAAGCTCAGGCCCTTTTTCCTACACCTTTTTTCCTTGTTTCTGGTGCTGCTTAGAGGCTCCTGTCTTTTCCTTCAACTAGCCATGTGCTCTGCAGAATCCAACTTCATCGGGTGCTGTGAGGACCCATGGACCCCTCCCCTGAGGTGGCCCTGCCACAAGGGACTCTCACCCACCTATTCCTGCAATCTAGATTGGTTTTGTATATATCTGTATATAACTTTATATATCTGTTCCTTACCCCATGTGTTATCTGGTTTGTGATTCACACTGAGCATTATACAACAACAGAATATTCGGTGCCAAGTGTGGGGTAAGGATAATAGTAAAGAATAATAAACCACCTGAGCAATGTCACAAAGCACCAGCCATGCAGCTTGCCCAAGGGACTTCCTTCTCATAGAATCATAGGATGTGTGGGATTGGAAGGCACCTTTAAAGGTCATTTAGTTCATCTCCCCCTGCAGTGCTTAGGGACCTTTTGACTCGATCAGGTTGCTCAGAGCCTTGTCAAGCCTGATCTTGAATGTCTCCAGGGTTGGGGCCTCCACCACCTCTCTGGACAACCTGTTCCATTGCTTCACCACCTTCATAGTAAAGAACTTCTGGGGGAAGACAAAAGGTCTCAGCATTTTGAGGTTTGATTTCATTCTGTTCCAGGATGAAGCTTCCCTTTCCCTATGAAATTCTCCACCAAAGGGAACACTGCTGCATCTGTAAGTCCCGCACTTCCCACTGCTGGGCTGTCCCTACCCCCTGGTGGTCCAGGAGGCAACTGAGCCAGGATTCCCTGTGGGTCCTCACTCGCAGGTTCCCTGCAAACCTGCCACACAGGCTGCAGACACATCAAAACCGTCAGCTGGCCAGGAATCATAGAATAATAGAATCATTAAGATTGGAAGGGATCTTAAAGATCATCAAGTTCCAACCCCCCTGCCTTGAGCAGGGACCCTTACCACTAGACCCGGTTGCACAAAACCTCGTCCAACCTGGCCTTAAAAACCTCCAGGGATGGGGCATCAACAACCACCTTCGGCAACCCATTCCGGTCCCTCACCACCCTTAGAGTGAAGAATTTCTTCCTAATATCTAACCTAAATCTCCCCTCTCTCAGTTTAAAACCATTACTCCTTGACCTATCACTACCTTTTCTGATGAAAAGCCCCTCCCCACCTTTCCTGTAGGCCCCTTTCAAGTACTGGAAGGTGCTATAAGGTCTCCCCAGGGCCTTCTCTTCTCTAGGCTGAACAGCCCAAACTCTCTCAGCCTGTCTTCATAGCAGAGCTGCTCCAGGCCTTTGATAATCTTGGTGGCCATTCTCTGGACCCCCTCCAACAGGTCTATATCTTTCTTGTGCTGAGGGCATCAGAACTGGACACAGTATTTCAGGTGGGATCTCACCAGAGCAGAGCAGAGGGGCAGAATCACCTCCCTGGCCCTGCTGGCCACACTTCTTTTGATGCAGCCCAGGATGCAGTTGCTCTCTGGGCTCCAGCACACACTGGCGGCTCATGTTGAGCTTCTCATCAACTACCACCCTCAAGTCCTCTTCCTTGGGCCTGTTCTCCAGCCATTCTCTGCCCAGCCTGTATTTGTGTCTGGAGTTGTGCCGACCCAGGTGCAGGACCTTGCACTTGGCCTTGTTGAACTTCATGAAGTTAGCACTAGTCCACCTCTCCAGCCTGTCAAGGTCCCTGGATGGCATCCCTTCCCTCTAGGGTGTCAACCACACCACACAGCTTGGTATCACCAGCCAACTTGCTGAGGATACATTCAGTTTCTCTGTCCATATCTCCCACAAAGATGTTTAAACAGCACTGGTCCCAATACTGACCCCTAAGGGACAAATTAGGAGACTTCCATACATAAACCTCCTCTAATTGAAAAATCAGCAATGTCTAGGGAGATAAAAGAGTCATTATGGCTCTTCTGAGCAGTGCTAGTGGCAATGATGGCAGGTATTTAGGGCAGAAAGGTGGGTGCCCCTTCCTGGTGGAAGGGGAAGCAGCCTTAATTTCCTTGTATTAGTGCTCAGTTAGTTAAGCTGCATTTCAGTTGTTCCTGGGAAATTGGTCTGTGCTAGGAGATCATCACTGGGACACAACACTGGGAATGATGGATGTGGGACTGGAAGCAGTCTCCTGAACCATAGCTATTCAATAGACTCTGCATCACATAATCAGAATTTTACCAGTTTCTCTTTTAGAACAGCTTAGTGCTTTGCCCCAGTGGCATGCAACTCCAAAGCTTTTTCTCTTTGTGTGTGAACTTATAAGTTTCAACACTGCAACAACTCGGTGGCCTCAGCTTGAGGCTAAATGTATCTCTTGTGAATTTATACCCATTTGTACTGTGCCAACAGTGCTTGTCAGCTAAAAATGGATAACATAGGAATTTATTTATTTTTTTTTAGTTTGTCTGCAATAGTCTCCCTATGCTCCTCAAACAGGAATTGTTCATGGAGTATCTTCCAAGAACAATAACAGGGATCTCTACTGGACTTTTGCCTCTCTACCTGCTTTGTTCTTCAGAGACACTTGGTCTTCCCTCAACACTTTTATTCTTCTCTTTCAATAGTGAGAAACAGCTGCCTTTTCAGAAAAAGATAGCACCTTTCTGAGAAGTAAGAGCTAAGGGGGCTGGGAAAAACAGCAAGCTCAGAGATGTGGTGTGTGGATGTAGCATGAAGGCCTGTGGAGGAGGTAGGTGGGAAGAAGCCTGTTCCCACCAAGCAGGTGTGTGATCCAGTGTCATGGTGCTAAGTAGAGCCCAGGAGGCTGTGCAGTGCCATCTCCCCAGCTCACACTGTGGCTGCTGTGCATGCAGGTGTCTCCAGCTTGCTTGGCACAGGGGACCTGGGAGCGAGCTAAAAGGTGATGTGATTTCACTCTCACATGAGGCTAACTGCAGGTGTCAAACTATTTTTTGATTCAAAGCAGAAGAATATATGATTTCAGGGTGTGAGAGCTATATAACATCCCTTTGCTGTAGAACCTTCTCCCTCCTTCCCAACCCTCCTGCACTTTGCAGTCCACTGTGCTCCTCCAACAGGTCCGATCCAGGTCACCCAGGCCGTGACCACAGCTGCCTGTCTCCTTCCTCCTCGTTCAGCCCCTTCTGTTTGGGTGTGATGTGAAGATCAAGGTTTCTTAGCAGAGGAAAGCAGAGGTCCTCACCTGATGAATAAGTGAACAGTTCACGTTTGGAGACCTCAGTGATGCCCATGAGCCTTGCAGAGAGATCTTGGGAAGGTTGTGTGGACATGAGACTTTTTCAGGTCCTGTCTGGGTGGTGGAGATGGCTGGGTGGAAAAATTCTGCTGGCACAGGTAACAGAGGGCAAGATGCTCCTGGAGAGAAAGGGCTGGGAGGAACTGACAAAGCACCAGAAGAAGTGGGGGGAGAGAACAGAAAAGAAAAATAAAGTTGAGGACTCCTCTGATTTGATGCCTTTGCTGCTGTCACTCTGAGGGTCCTGCAAGTCCAGTGTACAGAGAATATTTAGTAACACTCCTGGCCAGGAAGACTCAGTCTAGCACTCACACCATGGGTCCTACTTTCTATGCAAGGACCAAAACCTTCATCACACCTGGAAGATCTAACACAGCTCAGAGTCATAAAGCAGCAGCCCAGCTTGCCTCTCCCGTTCCTGCTCTCATAGACAAATGCTGAGCCACAAGGCTTGATTCAACTACATATCACTGCCAGAGTACTTTCATCCCAGATCCTGCAAGGCAAGGGATGAAAGGAGATAAATAAACTGGTAGTTTGGGAAACCTGGGGATCCACAGTAGGCCAGAGTGTGCTCAAGAGAAGAACTGGAGCACTTCCAGCAAGGGCAGACATGTATTATTTTGTTCTGAACCTGTACCTGGGGAGCCTAGTCTCAGGGGGCAGCAATGTTATACCATGCCAAGTGAACACAGTTCATCCAGATGGCTTGTTAGGGCACTCTGTCCTCACTCTTTTCTGACTGTGCATGGGTGCACAGCTGTGGACAGGAATCAGCTCTCTGATGCTACTTCACTTAGGCAAGTCTGAGGAGGTTGTAAGTTCTAGCAGCAAAAGAAGGAGCTGCTCCTCACCCCATTCCTGAAGACTGGAAAACTGAAAGATAATTCTTTACTATTGTAATCCCAAGTCAGATTAAATTCATTCCTGGCAGCAAGGAGGCAGGGAAAAGCAGATAAGCTGAACCAACCCATACTTCCAGCAGACTTGGAGAATGATGAGAGCCATGCTCACCTTTGGTACTTTCATGCTTTAGCCAAGACTGGACTGAGTTAAAAGGAGTTTTCTCCATTTCACACAGGTAACTGTCTGGGTTTGTAGAGCCATCTGCACTGGATACTGGGAGCAGGCATTCCTCCAGATCTCCTACCCCATTGGAGTCAGGGCTGTCCTGGCCATCCTTCTGGAAAAAATAAATGAGGACAAAGCCTTGTGAAATTTAATGGCAGATGACAGAGCAGGCTTTTCAAAGCCTCAAGAAGGGCTAATTCTGAGAATACCTTCAAGCTAGCTAAGAGATGCTAGGTTTCCAGCCCAAATCCCCTGAATTTAGGCTCATTCAGAGGAAGTTAATGACAGCAATTAAGAGAACTTTCAAAAACATGTATCTTTTTTTCCTTCCCAAATAATTGTCCAATATATGTTTCTATGGAGAAGTTCTTAAAAAGTGACCAGAATTTACCTTCCTTGCCAGAAACACATGGATGAATAAATGAGCATGGACAGAAATTCAGCAACATGCCCATGACCACCTGAGGCTAACCTTGATCTCCTCAGGACTCAGCTGAGAAGTGCTGCGATTGTCTGACTCATCTCCTAGAAGGATGGAAGAGGACTTGTCTGAGTTGAGGGATAATGCTTCCATTTCAGCCAGCTGGACCTGCAGGAAAGGAAAGGAACTGTCACTGGTCATGCCTGTTGCCCACATTTCAAGCAGTCACACTGTTTATGGTGGATAAGTGAGAGCCTGTAGACCTGAGATCAATTTTAGATTATATTACTTGGATACATCAGGTACTGCCTAACCCAGACCTGGGCCGGACAGGAGAATCCACTTTTTAAGAGAGGTTGAACACACAGTTCTGCAAGCAGCCCACTGCCAGTCCATGCTCCTCTAGTGCCAGAACTGGAAGAAGGAGTCCTGAATCTGTCCCAGCAATAGGGCTGGCACAAGGCCCTGCAAGTAAAGGCAGATGAGGAGAGGGCTCTCTCAGGCCAGTGACAAGGCAGTTTGCTCTACTGAGGGATGAGGAGTGGACTCCTCTCTCTGAAGGTGCCACAGGCAGCCTTGTTTAAATGGGAAGGTGCTTTCATTCCAGAGATAATCATGCCTCTTGCAGTCCATGCCAGTATCATGCTTTTTATTTTCTCTTACCTTAATCACTGAAACCCTGTTTCCTTTCAGCTTCCCTGGGTCTTCCTTCTCTCCTCACCTGTAACCTACCCATAACCTCAGATAACACCACCTCCCATCCTGCTTTCCATCCCTAAACTCACTCCTACCACCCACCCATACTTGTGCTCTCTTGCTTTCTGAAACCAAGTCTGACCACTTAATCTTTCCCATCCTTGAGCCTCAGCTCCACTCCAGTCCCATGCCTGACCTTACTTCATCTTTTGGCCTGTTACGTACCCCATATGCCCCTCTACCATTCTCTTTCATCCAGGCTTTCAACTCCCCTCTGCCTGACAACTTTCCCATAATGCCTGAAAAGCATCTCCTTTTTCTAGCAGCCTAGGCACCTGCTCTCTCCTGTGCTTGGCTTTCTATCACTGGTCTCTAAAGTCCCAACAGTTCCTATCACCTGACACAAGAGCTATATCCTGGGTTGTCTGAGTCAGCACAGCTTGCTTCCTGGCAATTTATCTAGTCCTCCCCAGTGTTTGTATTCACAAGAGGCAGGTACAGCTTTTGTGCTATAAGAGCAGGTGGAACATTTGGAGAGATGACTCCTTCGAGCTGGGAGTTTAGTGGCTTGTGCCAATGCCAGAGACTGGAAGAGGTCTCAAACCAAGGGATAATGAGCTTTGAACAAACAGGACAGAAAACCAGAGCTGGATTTAAATAAAGGGCACAAATGACACCCTGATTTGTGGTATTATTCTGGCACAGGAACATGGTTCAACCATGAAGAGAGCCCCAAACCAACAGCTGCTGCTCAGAGCATGGATGCACTGGAGAACCCACAATGAAGTTTTGTCAAGCAGGGTACACAGCCACCAGACAGAAACTATGTGTGTAAAGAACTGAAGTCTTCACTCAGTCCCACTTAGTGTGCCTACTCTTCCATTATTCACTTAAGTGCTTGTTACACAAGAACAGCCTTCCAGCTGTTCTTGTAGAGACGCGAGCATGAAATGTGGTAACACCTGCCACTACCTCCTCCATCCATAAAAAAAGGGTTTCAACCAAAGCCAGAATAGTCTGCTCTTCACTGAACCACTTGCTCACAAACTCTGGCCACCCTGGGATCTACACAAAAACCAGCCAATGAAGTCATGAATAGATACACTGCATGTGCGGAAACACGGTTCACTGCTGCTCACTGGCAAACTCCTGCTACTGGCTAAACACACTGTCGGCCACCAACAAACAGATGTCCAGCTGACAACCAGCCCAACAGTGAAAGGATGGTGGTGACAAGAGGAGAGGTTAATGGTATGGGGAGAAAACAAAGAAAAAGCAAAAAGAAAAAATATGTTTTGTTCTGATATCTTTTATTATTGTAGGGTATTTAAAAATCTTCTGACTTCAGATGAGGAGAAGGGGCTGTTTAGTAGGAGAACAATCCCTGAAAACTGCCAGGGGCATCAACCTGAGACACTGAAACATACACAGGTGTCCCATAGAATATAACTAGCTGCAGATATAACATATCTCTAAAAACAGAGCCATAATTACAGAAATATTTAATCACACAAATAATTGGTTTAAAAATAAGATGCCAGCAGCTTAAGTGGGAAAGATGCTGAGCACTTCTACTGAATGCAACAAAAATCCTAGCACATAGTAATAACTTTGAGCATACATTTAAGTGTTGTGTCTATCCACTGTGCTCAGCATCTTGATGAATTAAACTACAGACAAAATGGGAATGAACATTTTTGGCTAATACGTGATATTTGACACAAGGGCAGAATAAAGGGTGATTTGGTGGGCAGCAAGCATACTTTTTGTTGGAACACACCTGTATTGAATAAAACTAGATAAAAACTGTTTGGCTGATATAACTTGCTGTCGATTGCTTCTGAGATAGTACAGTTTTGTCTGTGTGTACAATGCACATTCAGTCATGCCGATGTACCAGAATACACTCTAATTTAATGACTATGTGCATTGCTGGTGTTGGTGCTGAGACAAGCCTAGTTTTGACTCCATGTAGTGATCTCCTGTTGGAATTTTCTTAATGTTTTTATACTATGAAATGCAAGGAGAAGGTTGTGATCAACCTTGATATAAAATCCTGAGCTTGATTCATGTCATCAGAAATACAATATCTATGTTTTACTACTGAAGTTATTCCTGCAGATATAGATAATTTATTTTCAGTTTCACATTTTAGAATACCAATTTTGAAAAATAATTTATGGCTCTATAATGGCCATTAGAAATTATGAATTAAGAGTAATTATTTGGTTGTGATTGTTCTGTTAATTTTTTTGCTGTGGCTCTGAGATGCTCATGAAGATTTTGCTGTCTATTTTCCTTGCTGGGAAGGTAAAAAAATCTGTTGCTGTTGACGTCGTTCCCAGGCAGGATGCTGAAGACAATCTGGAAGGTTTTCAAATGCAGCAAACTAGCTGCAAATGACTTAATTTTGGGGTAATCATTCTGGAATGGCTTGTAAGACCTGATTTTTTGAGAAGGCTGAGCATCAACTGCTTAATATAGGGGACTTAGGTACAGCAGTGCAAATCTTGATCGAAAAACTAAAGTTATTTAGCTGCATTAATGTAGCAACCATTTGTGAAGTGCTGCAATACTGATAAACTACAGCAATGTTTGCATTTTAATACTTTCAAAGGGAGGCTATGGGGACAAGAAGATAGCTGAAAGGATGAAAAAAACTTAAAGCACCAGAACTAGGCACCTAAAGCCAAACAAAATGCTATTTTCTTCAAATGTGGGTAATCTGCCAACAGCAGCTCTCTTTCCCACTTTTCTGATTTCTTTACAAGCAATAGCAACAAGGGAAGTTAATTATGGGGAAGGAGATGTAGAGATTGCCATTGATGTACTAACAGGTGAGTCATGCTACTGTTACAAGTCTGACCACAGCTGTAGCACTGAAATACAATAAACTTAATTCAGAAACAAAACAAATTCTGCTAGTCATCTAATTTCTTCCAGACTACTTTGCTCCTAAAGTTTCACAACATGAAAAGACTAATTGATTAGGATGTAGCTTTCCAAAACATCTACTAACTTTAGAAGCTCAAGTCTAAGCCATTTGGTGTCCTGCTATTAGCAACAACCCATTTCTCAGCTAAAAGGTTCTACATTAGAAAAGAAACTCTCAGACTTTCTCAGTGGGCTCATTCTAATTTATTTTTTGCTCAAACTAATTAACTGGTTTTCACCACAAACCAGTCCTTGCTCACAGACAGTGACTCTATTCAACAAGGCATTTAAGCATGTGCTTAATTCATCAACCTCTACAGGGAATAAGCAAGTACATGCTTAAAATGAAGACAAAACACATACTTAAATCTCTCACTAGCTTGCCCCTGAGTGCTGTCATTGGGGTAAGATCCTTTCAGCCCTCCACGTAACATGAGCTTGAACCTCTGTTTTTCTTGCAGAATTGAACACAACAAGAGCTGCCAGGACACCTACAAAGCAATCTCTCTGCAGCTCATTCAGTTCTTCCTGACCTGTGTCCTGGCACATCTCACCTTTCTACCACCTCAAACATCCCCCTGTGGCTAAGGAGGGTGGTCCTGTACTAGAGGCGGTATCAGCGGTTCATGATAGATGACAAACACAGGTCAACAAGCTCTCTGTCTACACAATCTACAGCCAGGAGCACGCATCGGATGACCTGCGGGCATGTGGGTGTGCAGGTCTTGGGGGAAGAGTCCCCTCACGCATCCTCGTACGCAGGTTACCTCTTGCTTGTCATGGTTACACTTCTCGCACATGGCCGGCGAGGAGTAATGATGGAAGACGGAGCCCGATAGGTTATCGATGATCATTAACTCCCCGTCGAAGGAGTCCTTAATAATTAAAGAGACACTGTCCAGCCATAAGTTCTCCTAGGGGACAAGAAAGGGGGGAGGATGGGAGAGATCATTTTAAGAATGTTGAGTTTTTTGCTTCACAGTTTCATGTGAATTTGGGGTTGGGTTCTCCACCCTGCCTCATCTGGAGCAGCACCTTGCTCTGCAGGTACCTGCACAGGGTGACTGGGGGAGCATTTGTTCCTTAGGGTGTGTAAAGGTGCCAGAGTTCATTGCAAAGAAAAGAAAAACAAACAAAAGAAAGGAGGCAGAGCTGTCTTCACTCACTGTCAGTGCATCATGGCACTGCTCAGGCCTCCCTTCCAGCTCTGCTGGAAAGCCTCACTCTTGATCTGCCATTTCCCCCTGCTCTGTTCTCCTGAGCTCTCAGATTTGCTCCTAACACACCTTTAGCTGATCCACTCCATCCCTTCTCTGCTGGCCCTCAGATTACTACACCATGATGACAATGAACAGGAGCCACTGCTATCACAGCCTTGTCCCCAGATGATGCTACCAACTCAGAAGTCTACCACTGAAAGCAAACCTCTCACCCCAAGGTGGAAGAGTCTACCTGTTACAGCGAAGCCCTCTGTCATCTAAGCTGCCCAGCTTCTGCCAAGAGCTACTTGCTGCAGTCTGGTTGGTAAGCTCAAAGGTGCACTCACCTGTGCTGGAGAGTAACATCTCATGCACAGACGTCCTTCAGGATCTGTTCTCTGACCACCTCCTCCTGTTCCTGCTCCTTTTCCCTGTCCTGAATTTGAAGAGCCTGACTTGCGGGAGCACAGCCCATGTGCAATTTCCAGTTCAATCTCCGCATCCATCTCTGCATCCTCCTGGGCCTCCTTGTTGCTGTCGTCGAGATGTTTCATGAGCACAGCTACCACCACATTGATGAGGACAAACTGGGCTGTGAGCACAAAGCTGACAAAGTACAGTGGGGAGATGAACTGCAGGTTGCTGAGGCAGCTCCGGTCATCGTGGCTGCAGTCACGCAAGGTATCCTTGAGGGGAAGTTGGGTTTGAAAGGAAATGATGGAAGGAAGGAAGGACTAAAGTAAGAATACAAGTTTGGTGACTCTTTCTGTCAAAAAACACTGATGCCAATGGAAATAACAGGGCAAACTTTTCCATTACCCCACACCCTCTGGGACCAGGAGGTCCTCAAAGAATCAAGGACACTATCTGATTATGTCCTCTTTATTTCAGAGCAAATGCATCCAAAGGTGCACAGAGCAAACTAATTCCAGACTATCACATGTTGCTGCAACTGTAACTGCACATGTGTGAGCAAGAACAAAACTGGGCAGTCTGGTACTGCTTTCTCCCATGCAGACACAAAAGCACCAAAGAATTTTTCTCTCTCCCTGTCACTTGAAGGAAGTATTTATTTTTTACTGTCTTAACAGCTCTGCAGATGGGTGCCACGTTCAGTGAACCAACACTGAGCTTTTATGACAGTGGATATTCCCTCTTAGCCTGGACAGCCTTCTTGTTCCTACCAAGGGCAATCTGGACTTTTCTCAGCCGGATGTCTGTAGGACACCCTGTCTGAGTCTCATCCTCTGATGGGAGGAAGGATTCTGGTTCAAGCAGAGGCCTTATCTAGCAACTCAGCTTCTGAGCTCCTTCCTTTTTCTAGCCCAAGCACTGCTGAACAGAGCACTCATCAGAATTTCTCCTTTGCCACAATAAAGACATTCACATTCCCAAGACCCAGTTACCTTCATAATCCCATTCCAGTTGTCACCTGTGGACACCTGGAAGAGTGTGAGGAAGGCCATCCCGAAGTTCTCAAAGGTGGCATGGCGGCTCATGCCCTCACAGGGGTTCTCATCATTGCATACTGAAAGGAAGGGGATCACAGCTATCAGAGGAGGACACACTGCTGGCCCTAAGATCAACAGCAGGACACAGGGAAAGGGACTTCCGGATTCACACATCCTGAAGTCCTCAGGTAATGGCCTCAGCACCCTGCTCAACAGTTGGCTGTTGCCCAGAGAGACAGAAAAATCTCTGATAGCCCAGTCCTGGGATATCAGGGAGTACAACTCAGTTCCTCATGGGGATCCTCCCAAAATGTTGTTGTGCTGCTTTTCTTCTTGACCACTATTCCATGGAAAGAGAATTATATAAGCCTTCCCTAAGTTTTCCCTGTAGTCTTGAATGCAATATCAAGGTAAGCAGTGCAGAAAAAGCACATGTTTAAGAATGAAAGAGAAACCAGACACTGCTTTTATTTTGTTAAGTTGTTAGGATAATAACAATTCAGAGGGAAATTCCTCTTATATCAATTAAGCATAAGGGAGAACAAAGGCCACAAAGTAATTCAGTCCCTTTATTGAATAAGTACTGATTTTGTGAAACCTCAGCTTTCCAGCAGGTCTTTAGCTCACACTGGAGCATGGTCTGTTTGAGACTTACCCAGTTTTCCAAAGAGCTCCACTCCTAGAGCAGCATAGATGAAAAAGAGGAGCATGAAAAGCAGTCCGAGGTTTCCCACCTGAAAGCAAATGGCATGGTCAGCCTACCCCAAAGTCTGCTTCATCTGTACAGGCAAGTGCTTCTGTCTTTCAAAGCCTGACGATAACAGCAGCACATTCCCAGTGTGCAAACACAACCAAGCAATTGCTCAACCCTTGGTAAATCACCAGCGATGGCACCAGTTGCAATTAGACATGAAGGATGCTCTTTTCCCAGTTGCCTCCACTCTAGCACAAGCAGTGGCCAGGGCCGACTGAAATATGCAGTTTGTGGGCCAGGTGAAGACAAGCACATGGGAGCAGGGGCACAGAAGGTGAAGCCAGTTTTCCTGGGTGAAGGACAAGCTATGGATTACACCATGGAAACATATCCTCCAGGGCTATATGCCTTACCAAACTGTCCAAGATCTTTAGAGCTCTGCTCATGTAAAAAGTGCAATAGCAGTGCTTCAAAAAGGCAAGGACACAGATATACCAGGCCCTGCCATGAATCAGGTGGAGCATGATGGGGCAAAACTCCAGGCACATGTAGAGGTTTGCAGCAGGGCTTGTGGAGGGAGTAGAGAGGCAGGAGGTAAAAAGGGTAAAGAGGGCCTCTTGGAATGTGTGGAGAGGAGGAGAAGAAGAGAGGAGACTATGAACAAGCCAAGACGGGAAGCAGAGTTTACTTTGTATCTCATGAATAATAGGTCGAAACCTGATTTCTGGGCCTCCAGCAAACACTGGACATTTGGAAATGTCCCAGTATGAGGATTGCTGCTTCATGGTGCACAAAGGCAGCAGTGCCACCAGCAACATGGGCACTCCCCCAAGTGCTAACTCTTCTAAATCACTGTTTATCTCTGAATCTCCTGCCTCCAAGCCTGTGGGGCAGCTGGGTTGTATATGAGGAGCAGGCAGTGGTTTTAGAACAGGTAGGCTGACCCATAACCAAAAATGTCAGTAATAGTGAGCACACTGGTAGTGGAGCAAAAGAAGGCAGGGAAAAGTTAAGAACCTAACAAGTATATGGGTGTTTTTAAAAAACTGAAGAGTGTCTGGTCTGACTGCATGTGGTCACTGGGCCTTTGTTAGGATCATCCACTTCAGGAGTCTAATCGAGTCATTGCAACTGCTGTGCCATCCAAATTCAGGAAAGAAATGAAAGATTCAGCCCACCCACTCCTCTGGGCTGCCAGATCCTGGCTCCCTACATACTCAGTGGAAAGAATTATTTCTGATGACTAAATTGGACACTATAGTAAATGATCTGAACACACATCTCTGGGTCTGTGTCTACAGGGCATTAAGAAAAAGAAGTTAATAAAAGTTAGCTAAGAGCTAAATTTCCAAAGGGATCTTCAACATTAAAGCTCTATTCACTATTAAGAATTGTTGCAGTGTAACAAAGACAGGAAGGGAATTGAAACAGGACAACTGGAGACACCTCATATGCCATTAGCAAGCCAAAATCCCTGATGTGAGTCTGTGCTCTAGGAATATAAAGAGAAAGGTCGAGAAGAGGAAAAAGCACAAGGGAAAGGACAGCTTATTTTAAACTGCTTCTTTTGGCAAAGCCAATAAATCTTGGAGAATAACGTTACAGACAATTCAATAGTCCCCTGAAGACTCAGTGTATAAAATATGGAGACTAAATTAAATCTTTTAACAGTGGAACTGGGGGATTTTAGCCCTACTTTAAGTGCAGATTTTTACACAACTCTAACTATGGAGAGATTTTTGATCCCTCTGTTATATAACTTTATGAAATTAATCCAACCTGTTACAGAAGGAAGCAAAAGCCAATTTATAGAAATTGGTTGATCACAGGCTTTGATGCTGCAAGGATTAAAAACTACTTGGTATTACCTTCCAGGAAACACCTAGAGAGCAAACCTATAGACAACTACTTGTGAGGGTTTTGTGGCCAATATTAATGACCTCCAAAAGCCCTGGCGCATCATCTTGGTTAGCAGAGGAGCTGTAGGCGAATGTGAGAGGAAAAAGCCATAATTCATAAATTGTGGAAGAATATACTTGTGGTTTGTGGCTAGGACCAGACAGCAGGGCTCAGAGGCTTGAGGTCCCAGCTGTGCCTTTTGCTATCCTGAACAAAACACTTCAGTGCCTAATGACAGTTTCTCCATCTACATGACAGGGATATGAACATTTCCTCCTCTCCTATTTATTATTTATATTTTAGGGGTAGAAGTAGAATGTCACCATTTAAGTGGAAATATACTGCAGAACCCTCTTACTGAGGGCTTCTATTTAAGACAGCTGTTAATATCTGTGTGTTGCATTTATCTGGGTTGGAAAATGAACGTGTCACAGACATGCAGACACTGGATCTGGAGACCTGATCCATTCCAGATCCTCGCCTGAGCAAATGAGCCATTGTGACTCCTGGAATGGAAAAGGGCAAGGTGCAATGAAGCTGCACTGAGTCAGCCTTAGGCAGCAGAGCCAGAACTAATAGAAGTTGCTGGCTGAAAGCTGCCTGCTGTAAGAACGCACTTAGTCTCCTATTCTTTCCATCATCCATTTTATCTTGGCTCCAAACTATCCTGGATGACGATATTATTATATATATATATAATTATTATTATCATCATTATTATTATTGTTGCTCTTGTTGTTGTTGTTGTTATTATTATTATTCACATCATTGTTATATAATTAAAAGTATGGGAGATCAGAGAGAGTACAGGATCCAGGAAAGATCAAAGTGTTTCCCTCTCACTTTTGTGCCATGAGATTTCTGTAATTCAGACTGACATTTATTGTCACCAGCATCAGAAGTAAACTCCTTGGGTAACTACTCATGCTGTTCTCAGATTGATTCTCAGCTCTGCATCACTCACCAAGACTGGCATGTTAGCTGATAAATCAACTGACAAATGCTCCTGCATTTTGATATCATGCAAAGATAGCTGCCTGCTCAGGGTCTGTCAAGGGAATGGTGTGATATATGATCAGTAAAGCCCCTTGGTGCCATTACTCCTTGCTTATAAATCTCTGGAGGATCCAAAGGGAAGGGGACCAGTCTCTCTGGCTGCTCACCCATCACAGAAGATCCTCACAGTGGGCTTGGTGCCTGTGTGAAGCACCGTGTCAGCACCTCATTCAGGAGCAGATGCCGCTCACAGCTCATGAAATCCTTCTGTCTAGCTGTCTTACAGTAGACACTTAGCTGCTGGCTGCATGAGCCACAACAGAGCGTGTCACTGCTTCTTATACATGAGAGACTCAGAAACACAAGGGAATCCAGGAGGAGAAAGGAATAAAATAAAGTAGGAAGAGGGAGGCACTGGGTAAGAACAGGAGTGATGAGTGCGAATAAAAGAGAGGAGGGGAAAGGGGCACATTGGGGAATGGTGAGAGAGGCAGAGGTGCAAAGATCTCCCTTCCTCCTGAAATGGCTGCCTGTCACTCTCCCTCTTCTTATGCACAGGAGAGATGAGAGAAGAGAGTATCTGCAAGTGCTAGACACTAGCTAGACATGACGGGAAGACATCTGCCCTTATCCAGGAATCCTTATTTTATTCACTCATGAGGTGGGCTGAACCCTCATGAATCATATGATAACCTGGACCTCCTTCTATCTGAGGAGACCTCCATGACAGACATGAAAACTTAGACATCACCTTTAAGAAGTTGCCTACACAACACAGTAGACACTGCCTCAGAGATTCCACCTCTGAGACTCTACAAGAATGAACCCTTTGGAAAAAGGATGCAGAAAAGGTGTCTTTGAGGTAGCTGGTCTGTTTTACCTGTGGCAGGGCTTGAACAACTGTATCCAGCAGTGCTCGCATTCCTGTGGCCATCTTCAGTAGCTTCAGGACTGCCACAACAAGCACAAGAGAAGTTTCACTCAGACTGAGCTCAGGAGGTCAACCCTTTGTGTGACAAGACAGATGTCCTGCCCCACCTTGCCCTAAAAAAACCTGGATTGTCCCCTCAACTCTCTTCTCCCTTTGCTCATTTGTTTTGATGGGACAAGCCCAGTGGTTCCTTCTGCTCCAGTCTATCTCCTTCTTACTAAATACTGTTTCTGTCCCCATGCCTATCGAGCTGCTTCTGCTTTGCCTAGACAGTCTGGCCAAGAGTCCTCTTTCTCCCAGCAATATGTATGACAATTGTCCCTCTTGTCCAATTTTACATGTTTTCCCTCACTTTCTCTTCCTCCAGTCATTGTCCGTTAAGGCATCTTAGCACATCTTGGCTACCCCCAGGAAGAATCAGTCTGGTCTGCACAGACTTCAACCTGCTTGATGGCCCCTTCTCCAAACACCACTGCCATGTTTGCCCCATCAAAAGTATAATGGAGAAAATTCAGCTCTTGTGTGATCTGTTCACCCTCCAAGTCCTCCACCTCCTGTTAAAACCACTGCAGGTAAATGCCTGACTTAGGGAAGCCAGAAAGCCTTAGCCTCTCATCTGTCCTTCATTGCACCCCCTGCCTCCCTCCCAGCTCTAGGGACAGGGAGAGCCCATGACTCTATAGCCACTGCTCAATGAGTTATGGCACCAAGTCCCACTCCATGACCACCTACACCCTTGCCCCTGGACAGTGTCTCTCTTACCCCGGGCGATGCGCAGCACCCTCATAATGCGGATGATAGTGGGGTTAATTGGGAGAGCAGCATTGATTTCAATCTCTTCCAACGTGATGCCCATGACAGACAGCAGCACAATGGCCAGATCCAGCTGGTTCCACCTTAAGAAGAGAAATTGAAGAGAATAAAGGAAGATGGAGTTTTTCCAGCTCCCTGAAAAAGCAAGTGAGTTGTCTCCACTTCAACCTAAATATTTATTTATGTATGAATTCAAGGCCCCATGCTGAGTCAGCCTACATAGGCTTTTGCAGACAAACAGAGATTCACGTTGCACACACCAGGAGCAGCCAGAGGCAAGCCAGCCTGATCTGAAAGCATGGAGCTGTGTTACTATGGTGCTATGCTTTGACTAATGGGCTCAGCTTTTCATGGCCTTACTACCTCGAATCAGCTTCGTTATACATGTTCTGCCTCAGCAAGCTCCCAGTTTGCCTCAGGGGCAGGAAAAAAATGGTGGTGTCTAACTCCACCTCCTTTGCTTTCTAGACTAACCAGCAGGTGCCAACAAAGAGGCAGTTTTTGGACAACTCTTACTATTGCCTAGACATTGCGGACCATACTGGCTGAGGCTAGGTCCATGGTGTGTAGAACTGAGGAGGCAGTCAGGGCACTCTGCTGCCACTTCATGCTCAAGAAACGGATCCATCCTCAAAAACTCTGTCCCAAACCCATTTGTCCCACAGCCACAGCTGACATAACCCTCTGCTCACCTGTCTTTGAAGAATCGCCGCAGACCGAATGCCACCAGTTTGAGGACTGCCTCCAACACAAAGACAGTGGTGAACAGGTAGTTGCAGTACTTGAGAGCGGTCTCCAGGGACTGCCAGCAGAAAGAGAGGGTAAAAAATTGAGGTGAAAGTATCATCAAGCACATACACTGTGGGTGGATGCTCCTGAGTGACAGAAACTCACTGGAAGGGGGGGGGAAACTGCTCCATGCCTCCTCCCTACTTGAATATGTAGTCTACTTGCTAAGGGCAACCATCAGCTGGCCCCTCTGCCCCGTGTTGTTCTCGGGATTGGTTATTGTTCCTTCCTCCTGTACTGTTCAGCATAAGCAGGAGGAGGCAGCTTTTGCAGGGAGAATCAACCAAGTACCATCAGCTCCTCTTCTGCCAGTAGCCCATGCCACCTGGATGCCACCAGGTTAATGGTACCAGCATAGCTATTGACCAGGAGTGGAGCACAAAGATTTCCCCAGTTGTGGATACATGTGATCTCTGATGATGGCAAAACCCCTCTGTGCCTTGGTCTGAGGTAGATGTGTCATGACACTATTTAGTGACCCTTCACACTAGAAGGGTTCAAAGTGCTTTAGCAAGATTCTTTAGCAGAGCCTGACAGCAGGCTGACATGGCTGGACCTGCATTCCAGGGGAAGGAACTGAAGAATAAAGAGGAGTGACTTGTTCAGGAACAAAGGCCTGATGTGCTGACAACAGATACAGGTTGAGAGTTCCTGCAGAGTAAAACTGGATATTATCAAGGGCAAGATAATAAAAGGTGGACAGCTGGACAAGACGGGCAAGAAACAGAAGAAACTGGCAGTGGATTTGAATGAAGACAGACAGATTTTGTTCCTGATCAGAGCCTGCACTATCTTGGACAGTATCTGCTCAGGCACCAAAAATGTGACCTCAATCAAGGGTGTCCTCAACAGAAAACTGAAATGCCACCAGGTAGATGTCATGATGAATGCTTTGTCTACATATGGAGACAGAAAGCTCCTTTGATATGTGCAGCACATGTTATTTTCATCAGAGGTATCTAGAGCTTTGCCAGGAACACTGAGAGGTACCTGGTCTTCCACAACAAAAACATGAAATTTACTTGGCCTTCAAGGCCCTTAGCTGCAGGCACTGCAGAGAAAGGCCCTGCTCAGTGCTTTGCCCCTTCTCTTATGCAAAAAAAGGCAGTTTGGTAAAACTATCCCATCCCAAGACACGCAACCAGTCACTCTAGTCCTCTCAGCTCAGGCCATATTGCAGGAGAACTGGTCTGACATTTGGAAATCTGATGCAAAGCCTGAAGCTCACAGGACACTGCTGTTTCCATTGTTCCTCATCTTAGGTTGCAGGGGAATATAGAAACCAGACCCGGCAGCTAAATTTGGGTGACCCACATACCTACTTAATAATATAAAGCACGGAGACTTAATTGCACTGTGCTTTCTAGGGGCCCGACTCCAGCTTAGGTACTGTATCTCTATTGATTTTAATGGATAAAAGAGTCTGAGTAGGGGTGACCTTTCTAGATATATACGAAACCCTTCACACGAGTTTGTCTATTACAGCAACCTTGCAACACTTTAATGGTGTGGGGTTTTTTTTAGTGACACTTAAGTGTCCTACCTATTCTGGTGGGCAGCGGTCATCAGAGAGCTGTAGCAAAAGAACATAATGACTAGAGGCAGGGCTTATCTTCATGATCTCACTCACCACAGGTTGGTTGTAGTGCTCCAAGGACATAGTGACCACGTTGAGGCAGATGATGAAAGTGATGAAGATGTCCAGATAGTGGCTGGTGCAGACCGAATGAATAAGGAGGCGGATGGGGCAGTAGGTAGCATAGTACGGCAAACGCTGCGCCTCTTCAGTGGAAAGAGGGAGATGGGCAGGGTAAGAAACACTGAAGAGGGAGCAGGCATTAAAGTGGTGATAAGTGGTAACAGAAAAGGGAATGATGGTGGGAGAGAGAAAGAGCAGAGAAGGATAGATGAAAGATGGGGAACACAGGAAGAAGGGAAAAAATGCAAAACCAAAACAAAACAAAGAGGAAAAGAAAAGTGAGGGGGAAAATAGAAAAAAAGACAAGGAAAGGAATGCTAGAAAGAAAATCTCTTAGTCTATGTTTGAGGGAATGGTGCTAAATCAGCATTTCATGCCTTGACAAATTAAGATCACAAATGATAAAAGGGAGCAGATGGTTCCAGGAGAGGCCCCAGGGTGTCACAGGAGAGAGGGAAAAACTGGAGCAGAGGAAAGGAAAGCATGTCCACAGGCTGCGAATGGAAGAAAACCATCAGCCTGGGGTAGTATGGATGATTTCCAGGGGCTAGTATGTTTTTGTACTACAGAAGAGGACAGAAACACCAGGAAGAGGGCTTGCTTTACCCCAGAGGATCTGGAACCCCAAGGAGTGACACTGTAACATTGATGGAAAGAGCCAGGAATGAAACACAGGGGTCATCTTCTTTTTTTTTCCTCCTCCCTCTCCTATAAATTTTGGTTTAAACACAAAGCATGGTCTGTCCAGGTCTTCCCCCAGACACCAGCTGGGTTGCCAGAGGCCCAGGTGGGATTATCCCAAGCCCAGGAGGTGTACTGATATGTGCACGACCTGTGTCAACAGTGCCCACCAGCAGATAGGTGCACAGCAGTATTTTTGGTACATGTTATCTCCAGGGTGCTAAAACCCCAGCAGCTTTCCCTAGAGTCCCAGCAGACCTCATCAGCCACCCCCTTCCACAGACCACCCTGGTGAGGTGCGTAGCAACACGGCAGTGGCGCGGGGAGGAAGGCTGAGAGCGCGGCCACAAGCGATGCATTTTGGAGACTGGTCCATTGGGAAAGAAAAAGAAGAGGAAAAGGTTTTTCTCAAAAAAACCCTTGGCCTACGAACCGACCAAACACTTAGGCTGTGCCTTACTCCTTCGCTTCTTCTCCAAGCGGCGCAGGCGTTTCTCCTCCCGCCGCCGCGCCTCCTCGGCCTCTTGGTGTTGCCGGCACTTGTGGAAGTTCTCCACCACCACCCCCACGAACATGTTGAGCACAAAGAAGCTGACGATGAGGAGAAAGGAGATGAAGTAGAGGAGCATCCAGGGGTTGTTGTTGATCACCGGCTGGAGGAGAGGGGAGAAAAGAGATTTTTAATGGCTTGGATGGGCAGAGGTATGGAAAGTACAGGGGTGGGACGTGCCATGGTGATTGGCTATTGGGGAGGTGGGGAGGGATTATGGAAATCAGGGGATTGGGTGGGAAGAGCTGAGGCTACAGGCAAGGCAGTGTGTGATTGGCTGACTGGATCAGGTGGTGGTTGATGGAGCAGGTGGGAGTCAAAGGCCAAAGCCCAATTGCACCGTCTACAATCCAGGAGCAACCCCAGCGGTAGGTCGGGTACAATACCAGTATGTCATAAAATGGATGGTCCAGCCACCAGCAACACCTTTGGCTCAAGGGCAAGTAAATACCACATCCACACACCAACAAAATGGCAATGAGAGAGATCAGAAATGTGATTTAGGCTCAGAAAGAAAGGAGGAACTGACTTTGGCTGAGTCTCCTGACAAAAGGCCTTTAAAACCAACAGTGATGCACCTTTTGCAGAGGTTCAGGGCTAAATGGCGCATCATCCCCGAGGTTCAGGCCTGTGGTACTGCAGCCCATGGCAAACACCTACACCAGGACCCTATTGAGGTTATTGTCTTAACAGTGGAGGAACAGGGGTGCAGTGGGCAGCAGCCCATGCGGTTATTGAAACAACCATCTGTGGGCCAGAAGGGAGCCTGCCTGACCAGAAAGGCACATGGTGTTGTTGTTCCATCAGTGCAAATAGATAAAGACCTGCCATGTGATCCAAACTAAGCAGAGGGTGAGCAATACTACAGACACTCAGTGCACGGCCACAGCTGCAGCTGCCTGACCCCTTGCAACTAGGTGAGCAAAAGATTCACAAGAACCCTGGAAGGGAATCCTAGTTTGAGGGAGGTGTCTGAGGCAGGCTGTCATAGCAGATCTCCAAACTTACTATCCCAAGGAAACTCAAAAAGGTCCTTTCATGAAGAAGTTTTTGTACCTGCTGGTCAACAGCCACAGCATCTAGTCCATTATACATAATATTGACCCAGCCATCCTTGGAAGCCAGAACGAAGAGGGACATCAGAGCCTGCAACATACAAAGCAAAGCAGATGTGGAGCAGATGCATCTGGCAGGCTGGGAAAAAAAATGTGAGTTTACTCTCTTACACACACAACACTGAAATGCTCTTCCTGCCTGTGTCTCTGCACACATCAAGACCTGCTCCTTCCCCCGTGGAGAAGGAGGGGGGACAGGAAGCCATGTGCAGCCAGACCCACTTGAGGAAAGAAATTGTCAACATCCACTTCATGGCAGGAGGAAAAGAAAATCAAGCTCTCTGCTGCCACCACTTTTCTTTCTCCCGCAGCCTGTAAACATCATTCTTATACCATCAACCCACTAGAGACACTGCTTCTGCATGGATACCCATACCAAATATTCACCCCTCCAGGCTCAGGGATCAGGCTTTCCAGGCATTGTATCTGTGCCCTGGGGAGGGGTACCTACAGGACACAAGTCCTGAGCTGGGTTACCATCAAAGACAGAGGCTTCAGGCACACTCACCTGTCCCAGGTTGTCGAAGTTATACTTGTGGTGCACCCACTTGTAGTTGGCAGCCATGCAGTCAGAACGGTTGGTGATGTTCCTGATGTCAACTCCCAGGCAGTGGTAGAACTTGCCCTTGAAGAGCTGCAGGAGGGGAGTGACCCCATCAGCCCCTTTACCCCAGGGTCCCCCATGCTCCCTGGGATGTGCAGAAGCTCATGAGATGGTGAGTGGTCTGCAAGCCAGGTGGGGCAGGACAGAAAGGGAGGACCGTTTTATGGCACAAGCTCACACATTGCTAAGGAACCAGGGTCACCCCGATAAAACTGCACCTGGCTTCTCCATTGCCCCAGACCAGCAGTAACCATAACCCATCACCATCTGACAGCTGTTAGGGCAGCCTTTTTGGGAACATGTAGAAACACCAGCCTAAAGGGAAAAAAATGTTCCCGTTGGCCCCCAAGAGTAATCTCCCCTGTTTGCTTCCCAGTTACTGAGAGAGCTGATGGAAAAAGAAGATCTCATCTGAGGATAAAGGAACCAGAAAAAACATCCCCTGATTCTCAGATTATTGTTTTGGTTTTGCTTGTTTTGTTTTTCTTCCACAAATCTGCACTGCACTGCTGTGGCTCTTCTGCCCAGGGTTCCTTTCCCCATATGGAAGGTACTGGATTGTACAGATGCATCAGAGCAGACTAAGTATAGTGCATTCCCTGAGATGGAAGTGACACCCACACCCTTGCTCCTCTGCAATGCAACAGCTGAAAATGACGAGGTTTAAATTAAAAAAAAATAAAAACAGGAAGGTTGTGGGTGGATTTAGGGCTAAGAGTGAGGAGGAAAAACAGCTGATTGGTGGCAGAGTTTGCGCAAGCAGGTGCTGAGCTACCTGCTCTTGTGGTGTGGCATGAATGCACACAGTGAGCCCTGTGCTGTGCCAGCCCTGGGGTCTCCCTGTATCACTGACCCAAATCCTGACCTAACTCCTGCCAGACATGAGTGTTCACTCCTGCCTTGCAGATCCAGCAATGCCTGCACTCGCTAAGCACCTGGCTGTCTTTGCCAAAGGCTGCTGGGACATTCGGACGGGAAACAGCTCATGGAAGAGGGCAGCTGCAGAAAGTTTCCCAGCTTGCCCATCCCTTCCGCTCTGCTTAGTTCCCTGTGCCTGTGTGTACAGGTGTCCATGGTAGGGGTAAGGGCGTGGGACCTGTTTAATGGGCAGTAAGAAGCCTACCTGCACACCCAGGATGCCAAAGATGATGAAGAAAGCACAGCAGATGAGGACAATGTTTCCTATGGGCTTGAGGGAAGAAATTAGTGTCTCCACCACCAGCTTCAGGCCAGGGGCTCGGCTGATGACTCTGAAAGGAAAGGAAGGTTAGGGGTGACAGAGGAACAGGACAGGGAAGTTTGACCTAAGCCAAGCATTTTCAGCAGCAACAGACCCCCTACTCTGTCTATGCAGTGACCCGTCAGTGGGGATCACTTTCCTGCAAGACTCTTCTCTTCCATGGGTTGGTTGTCTGACAAGGGACCTCCAGGGCCAGATTTGTATGGCTAAGGGGAACATCCCTGTGGCTTGTGGCTTGCCAAAGACCACACTTGGCCTGGCACAGCAGGATCTGATTCTGGGACCCTTCCTGGGGTGGGGGTGGGGCACCTGGTGGGAAGAGGGGTCTGAGCAGGGTTCAGTGGGGCTCTGACCGGAGGGGACGTAAGGTGCGCAGCAGCCGGAGGACCCGCAGCACCCCCAGGATTTTGGCACCACCAGCAGAGGCCACTGAGACTACGATGTCAATGATAGACACGAAGACCAAGAAGCCATCCAAGATGTTCCAGCTGCTGCGGAGATAAGCCTGATCCCCAAAATACAGGCCTAGAGAGACAACCTGCAAGAGAAGGGAAAGCAGGAAAGGTTAAATGGCTCCTTTTCATGTTGCCTGGTAGAGCTGTGTTGCGAGGGGGGGAGGATGGGAAAGAATTATCAACTCCACATCACACTGGCATACCCTCTTATAGTCTTTTCCTTTCACCTGGCAGACTATGAAGGAAAATATATTTGTGAAAAGTGGCAGCACGTAACTCCAAAAATAACAGGGCCATAGTGTCTTTTCACCTTTTCTCTGCTTCCCTGAGCAACAGGACTCTATAGAGAACATGGAGCAAACCTTTCCGTGCCATACCACAGGCCTGGAGCAAGTCTCCTAGTCCAGAGGTCACCTGGGAGGTAAAATAGGGTACCAAAACCCATACTTGAGCTCCAAAGGGGGTGGTTTGATTCTCAGCGATTCTCAACGCCAGCAGGTGGCCCTGGGGGGAGCTGAACACCCTGCAAATCAGGGTGTTTGATGAGCAAACATGAACTATGTTGTTCCTGACACTGGGAAAATGCTCTGAACTGTTCATCTCCACAGTAACTTACCTTCAGTGTCATCTCAGCTACAAAAATTGCTGTGAAAATGTAGTTGGACACAGTGAGAAAGATTCTCTCCTAGAAGAAACAAACAAACAAAGAAAGAAACAGAAAAAGGCCTTAAATGTATCTTGACTTCTTGTTCTGAAAGTTGGGGAAATAAGAGAGGTGCCTTTGGCAAAGGTCAGTGCTGGGCGGCTTTCAGCTCACACACCTTGGTTCAGCCCTATGTCACAGCTGGGAAAGGATCCTATGCAGCTCTGCAAGAGCACAGCAGATGGGATTTGGAAGACATTCTGCAAATCTGGTTTCAAGGTGCTCTCTGCCCTGTTCTGCCAGTGCTGCTCAGTCCTGACCTTCTGCTCTGACCTGGGACTCCTTCCCAAAGGGCTGCTGAGCACCAGCCACTGGATTGTGCACAAGTGCAGTAGAGTCTGAGGGTCAGCTAAGACAGACATGCAGAAAAAGCCATTTCACTTTGCCAGCTTGAGCCATCTCCAAGATAGCTCCAAAGCAGCATACATGAATGATGACATGGCATTCCTACAGAATGGAAGTTACTTCCATCTTTTAGTTTCCAGTTGCTGTCCTTTTTTCCAGTCATCTCTTAACTGCAGATGCCTGTGGGATTCTATTACTCTCCAAGAGGGAGGAAACAAGAATTACTTCCTAATAAAGTGGGTTGCCCCATTATAAGACTGTGCATGGGAAGCACATATAATGTGAATTACCAATACTTCGGCATTTAAATAGATGAGTGGGAGCTGATGCTGACATTCTTCTAGAGGTCATACCAGTGCCAGGAACATTCACAAACCTCTTCCAGAGGTTGTGTTCAAAAGTAGGTGGGAGGAAATCACAGAATCACCAAGGCTGGAAAAGACCTTTAAGATCATCAAGTCCAGATGCTCACCGTGCTTCTGTGTTCAATCTGCGGTCTCTCCAGGGCAATGGTGATGCAGTTTAGGAAGATGAAGGCCAGCACAACGTAGTCAAAGAGCTTGTGAGCAATGATGGTTTGGCAGAGGAGGCGAAACCTGCAAGAGAGTTCCAATGGGCAGCTGTGCCTTAGGCAGAGCAAGGTTAGGAGCTATGAAGACAGAAAATGGAGAGGTCTGGCCAAAACTGAGCTCTGACATGGCAGCTTTCCTATCACTGGCACCAATGCCCCTTTCCATGGCAATATCCCAGGGTGGCTCACAATCACACAGGGAGCCTGAGGAAGAGTAAGAAGTAGAACCTTCATCCATTGCCCCAGTGCCAGCGTGGTTTCTAACCACTACAGCTCTGTGGTCCTCTCTTGCTCTGTAGAGAAGAGGCTGTGTTTCAGTTTTCTTCCCAAATTCACACTTTGTACCACCCCAGAGTAAAGAGGCCACATGCTGAAAGCTGAGGAGGTGCAGGTAGGTTGGCTGTCGTGTGGACCACACTTCTGTCCATTCTGATATACATTTTGTCCATTAGTGTAGGTGTCACACAGAGCAAAGAGCTCTCCCTTGTGACCTGTAATAAGACTCCTTTCTTTTTAAGGAGCGATGCACATGGGTGGAATACTTTTGGCTGAGGTACGTGGATGTTTTCCTCCATGGTGGGAAGACCCCTTTAGCAGGAAGAATTTATCCCAGATTTCTTTTTTTTTTTCAGGCAAGAAGAACTCTAACTTTGCCCTAAAAGGTGTGATAACTGCTGATAAGTTGGTACTGGGGCTGAAAATGAAATGGAGAGACTGTTCTGGTACCAGGGGAGGAAATATCAGTATTACAAAGTTGTTAATATCACATTCCTTCTTTTGGATTAATGTTAGTATTCCCTGCTTTGCTACAAATATTTATGACTACACAAAATAAAAATGGGATACTCCAAAGGGAGCGAAAGTCACAACCGCTATTTAGGATTCTCATCTTTCCTTTCATCTCCAGAACCAAGGAAAAGAAGTGTTGTTTGGCTGTAGAAAGGGAGATGGAGCAGAAAAAACAAATTCCCAGATGGTAAATTTAAAGTTGCCAGGTCAGGATATGTGGCCAGCATGGCAACAGAATCTCACGCATCTTCTTAACCCTCTCATGGCAAAAACTGCACAAACCTGTTTTGTGGAGAGAAGAGATATATGGACCAGTCTTCCCGTAATTCACACCAGTCTGGTTTATAGACTTCCATCATCTTCCGGATGCGAAAGCACAGGCTCTGGGGGGATGCAGCAGAAGCAAGTTTCACTGGTTACCTTCCCACTTGCCTGAGAGAGGTTTTCTTCCTTTCACATCTGATCCTAAAACACCACTACCTGCAGTTCCCCAGGTACAACATCTGCCTTTCTTTAAGACCCCAAATGAGGAAATGGACTCATAGAGCAAAAAGCCACTGAAAAGGAGGTAAGAGTTGCTTTGCCATGGCCTGTTTACCTCATGGCATCTGGTTTCCTCCCTGGTCATAGAATCATTTTGGTTGGAAAAGACCTTTGAGATCATCAAGTCCAACCATTAACCTAGCAGTGCCAAGACCACTACTAAACCAGATCCCTTTTTTCCCTCCCCAGATCATTGCCAATAAAACTGCTAGTGTCCTTTCTAGAGCAGGACATTGTCCATGACACTTTCTCAGAGCTTTTGGAGTAGCTCTGTTACATGAGTACAGTGTTTTCTCACTACCTCAGCTAAACAAGAGGCCAGGACAGGAAGGCCTTCTGTTGGCACTTGGGCTCAGAGGTGTTTTAATTTCCAACAGCATACGTGTTTGTTCAAATTTCTACTGACACTCCCTCATTTTCTCCACTCTGATCTGCTCACAGATTCAGCATCATGGTCACCCAGGCTGGCAACACAAAACTCAGTTGCTTTGTCTCTTGTGTCTGTGCATCCTACTCTGATCTGCTGATGTTCTCCCTGTAGAGCTCTCACTGCTCACACAGTCTGACCTTTCTTAACCCGTAGAAATCACTGGCTGCACTGCTTTGAAATAACAGCCCCCAGATGACCATGCACGTGCCTCACATCAGCCTTCTTCCCACCATCCACCTGTACAACTGTCTTGCAGGCAGCCTGACACTGTGGTTTGAGCTGGTCTGGGCCTAGAAGATTCCATCTGCATTCAGTGTCATCCTCAAGGATGTACGTGCAGCATCTTTGCAACCTCTGCCATCCACAAGGCAGGGAGACTGAAACTTGAGGAATGTGAGGATTATTTGGAGTTTCCTGCAGCAACCCCAGGTTCCCTCCATCAAGTACTCACATAATCTATCTCTTCATCATCCTCTCCCCGGTCTTTGCGGTTGTTCATCTTTGGGAAGATCTCCTTGGCAATAGTGGGCATTTTGCCATTGCAGTCTTGATGCTCACTGGCCCCAGAAGCTGCTCCCAGCTTATGGGTCACTCTGTGGGCAGATGGGACTGAGGCCAACTCCAGCAGATCACAGGAGTCTTTGGTGTCCAGGGAAAGCGTCCGGCGGTGATGATACACCCTTCCCGTCCTGTCTGGCTCCCCATCTGCTGCCCTATGCCTTTCCCCAGGCAGGAGGGATTCGTGCTCAGCAGAGGGAGGTTTGTGCTTCAGGCTGTGTCCCCGGGCCAGGCTGTTCCAGCTGGAGCAGCAGCTTCCCCAGGCCCCGCTGCGGCTCCAGGCACCATAGTGGGAACTGCGGGAGCTGGACTGTAAGAGAGCAGGACAGGGATTCAGTAATCCTGGGCACAAGGAGGGAGCATGCGATCCTATTTCAGATCATAGATTTCTCCCTGGGCCTCTAAGCCAGGAGACTGCCATTTGTCAACCATTGAGGATGTTGCAGGTGGGAATTTAGCAGCCATCTCTGTAAATCTGGCAATAAATTGCTTATGAGTTAGCAATGGTGATGGCTGTGATAACTTTATAGCACCATCTGTGTGCAAAGCACTTTGGGGGAAGGTAAATAATAAAGCCAAAGGCCAGTTGCCTGATGTTGTTACTTACACCAGCACAGAGCAAGAATAAAGCTCTCCAAAAATCTGATTGGCAACTTTTTACGCTGCCCTGGGGTAAAGGATAACACAAGACACAGGGTGATGGATAAGCTGACAAACCATCTTTGAGTACAGTCTTAGTAAATGGAAGGAATGACAGAAACAGGCTTGTTGGTTATAGTCTAGTCTAACCACATCAGCAACTTATCATGTAATATTTGGCTGCCAGCTCTCCCTGTTTAGAAATAAGAAGGGCATGAACCCTCTGAGCACTGAAGAACCCCTCCAAAGCTACATGTACCAGTGGGTAGAAAGCCCAGAACTTGGTATTACGAGCTAGATAGGTTTGAGATGCATTGGCTGGACAGCCAGCAGTGTTTGGGGAAGTGCTAAGAGGCAGGAAGACCTGCTATGCAGAGCTCAGTACAAGATTTCTCTCTTAATTGTTACAAAAACTTCCAGAAAACCTATCTGTTATGAGACTCATCAGCAGTTTTGGCATCAACCAGACATTTCTATGCTCCCAACTAACTCAGCATCATTTTGCGTCCTGTGCTCTGGGAAAACAAGGAAAAGATAAGAGGACAAAACGTGTTTCACTCTAAGAGGGAGACTCTGTCTCCTTGGTGTTCCCCCACTCCCATCAGAAAAATATACAAGAGCTGAATCCCACACTCAGTGGAATGCAGAACAATAATCTGGAAACAGATGTCCTTCACCTAGAAATTTGGATAAATAATGTGAACTGACCTGGCTTCCTGAATACAGGCGAAGTGCTGTGTTAGAAACTTATAGGAGCAGGGCAATCCTCCAGAGCAATCACCAGATGATGATAGAAAGATAACAGATTGCTTAGATTTCAAAAGAGGGGTATGACACACATTTCCACTCACTCACTCACCAACGAGCGCTGGTCATAGGTCATTCTGCCCAGGGACATGACACTACTCTTCCTCGAGCCAACAGTAACACGGATCTGGTCAGGCTGCAAGGAATTGCGAGAGGAGTTGGTGACTCCCCCAGCAGCCACTGGTGGGTTTGAAGAAGGCAAGGATGGGTCCAAGTGTCCATTAGGTGTCACAGGAATTGCACAGAGCTTGGGATCTGGGTGAAAAGATGAAGAAAGAAGAAGAAAGTAGTGAGTTCCTCACTATCCAGTGACTGTTTCAATGTCTCAGCTATTTAGCATGTTAGCAGCAGTTAACAGAATATTAGCTGTCTAGCATCAATCAACATCAACTCCTTCTGATTTAGGGTGCTGTGGCAAAAGCAGTGCCAACCTGGGAAGACTTTGAAGTATTCTCCTAAGTCACCAAACTGATGGCAGCCCTCCCTGGGGCCAGAGACATACAAGAAGATTGCTGGCCAGGCAGACTTAAGCTGACAGGCAGAGCAAGAAGCCAAAGCTCGGCAGCAAAGGGAGGAGATTGTGATTCTGTGTGCCTAGAACTGATACCTGCATCTTCAGATCTGAACAAATAACACTGACTCTCAAACTGACTATTTAAAGTGGTTAGGCTGAGACACTAAGATGTTGGGAGACCTGCAGCCATCCATGTATTGGGGTCACCTTTAAGTTCCTGCAATCATACTCCTCATCCCAGCCTATCCTACTATACTGGGACACTTCAAATGACTGATCATTGACCTTGAAGATCAAGGACACCTAAAAAGGGTATGTTAGAAGCTGTGGATGACCATCAGCATTTGCTGAGATAGATGGAGAGGATGGGGCACCGGATTTAATGTCTGAAAAGACCAGAGTTATAATTTTTGTTTGACCTATTGCATAATGAGGGTCACATATCCTCATGTGGATGCAGTGTCACAGCCATGAGTGCATCAAAAGGCTCTGCAACCTTTTCTTCATCTGCCCTCCTAGGAGTTTGGCTGCCTGCATTCAAGGTAAGCTCTGATATGGTGCAGTCCCGTAACCCAGAATCAGACTGCTATGAAAACATCTAAGTTGTAGGAGAGAGCTGTGACAAGCCAACAGTGGAGCCACTGCTCCTTGCTGCGCGAGCTGCATTTAAGCTCAGACTTGTGCCTGTGGTCTTTGACTGGGTTGTGCTGTGAGTATGCTTGTGATTTCCTTTTCACCTTGTGCTGATTCTGACCTTGCCTTGCTGACTGGACTTCTTGTCTTGGCCTCAGACCTGCCTCACCACTGTGGACTTGCCTGGGGCTGACCCTGACTGGTGTCAGCAGACCTGTTCTGTCCACCTTGTGCAAGTACTGTGCCTTTGTCAGTGTGGTCCTTGTCCTCCTGCCTGGCTGTCTCTTCCCCTCGGCTCCTGGCTCTCCACCCATCATGAAGCAAGATGCTCTTGCTGCTCCCTGCCACCAAGTCCTGTCTGAAGCATAATACCTCTTGTAGAATGACTTGTAGTCTTCAAGGAAAGACTTTGAGGCATGGAGACCTTACTCAGCAGTTTGTAGGCAGACTGTTCCAACAGTTAATTATCTTTCCTTAAAAATATGTGGCTTTTTTTCAGTCTGAATTTGTCTAGCTTAAGCTTCCAACATTTACAATCTCATTATGCTTTTTTCTGCTCAATTAAAGAGCCATCTACCATCAGAAATCTCGCCTTATGGTCAGCACTTACAAAGTGTATGATCTAGTTACTGCTCTGCTTTTTTCTAAGCTTCGTTAGCCTCTTGCTGTGAGACAAGACCTCTAGACTTGTCTGAGTCCTTTCTAATGTGTTGGTATCCCTTATCCAAATGTGGGTCCCAGATCTGGACAGAGTGTTTCTGAAATGGTGCCCCTGAAGCAGAGACATTCTCACTTCTCGCTCCTAGTTGCCATTCTGTAGGTCTTTCAAGAACTGACCCCCTTAGCTATCACATTCCTCAGGATTCCAGCATGGCTCTGTTTTTCCACAGATAACACCACAAACTAGCATAAAGTACAAAATGAAAACTGTTAAGTTCTTGGAGATGGGAGTGATCTTTCTGCAGAATCTACTTTTGGTTTTCTCACTTATCAGCAATGAGAGATGAGCAAATGAAGCTGTTTGAGCCATTGTACCTGAGCCTTCCTGAACCTCTTGGAACTGATCTAACTCCTCCATGTTTGATGAACTCTGATCTTCATCTGAATATGAACGGTTGGCATCACCCTGGAACACACAAATTTAGAAGTTGGAAACTCATAAACAGAAGAGACCATTTGTTGTTGTCTTTCATTGCTGGAATAACTGTAAAACCCTCCTTGGCAGACATGCATCAGTGTGATCCCTGGAAAGCATCTCATGTGACTTGGGATGGCTGATGTTCTGTGTTCTTCCTTTTGGAGGGGCAAAGAACTCACCCTAGTAGGGTAGGGCCTGTTGCACAGGATGGAAATTGAGAACTCCCTTCCAGAGGGCTTGTCTCTTCCCTTGCAAGGATTAGCTTTTTTTTTTTTTGCTTTTTTTAAAATGAAGCCCACCCTGAACTGAACAAAGGAAATGACAGAGGTGTGACACTTAGGGACTCTTCCACCCCAGTGCTCTCAAAGTGTCTCAGTGATATCCCTTTTAGCACTTCTATTTCTGTTCCTGATGAGGTCTTGGTTGCAACTCACCTCAGCCTGGAACCCCTCCACCAGAATGGCCACCAGCAGATTGAAGAGCACATAATTGCCAAATGTCATGAGAGCCACAAAGTAGAGGGAAGCCCATGGCGAGGTAGAGGCCATGCCATTATAGAGCACAACATTCCAATCCTCCTGGGTTAGGATCTGCAATCAGGAGCAGAGGCCACATAAACATGGAGGAAGAACACAAAAGGGATTCTTAGGAAAAGACAATGAAAGGACACACATCAGGATCACATGAGGCCTCTCTGCTTGCCACAACAGGAGTGAACTTTGCAAACTGTCTCTTGGGAAGGAAGAAGATCCCCTGAGACACACCAGTTGTTTGGTTGCAACATGCAGTTCTTCTTTGTCTGTCAGAAGTGATTGCAATGCTCTGCAACAAGATAAAGCACGTCCTGATCCTCTTCACTTTACCCACAGAGAGCAAAGTGGGCTCACCTGGAAGACGGTGACAATGGCCCACAGCAGGGAGTCAAAATTCTTCCGGTCAGGAACCGTATCTCCTGTGTCTGTCCTGAGGCTAAACTTGCAACCAAAGATGTGCATTCCCAGGATGCTGTTGGGACAAAAAGTGGAAATGGTGTCAAATACACATACCTCTGCTACTACCATGAGCTCATCAGAGTATTTCTTTTTCCCCCCTGACAATCTAGCCTAACTCCACAGGAGTGAGGGGTTGAACAGCACAGCCAGAACACTGGGACCTACCAGTGAAGACGTAGCTGTGTATTGCATCCCTATAGCTCACCAAAAACCTTGCCTTCCATCTTTACTGCCTCACATATTCCCCTCCAACCTGTTCTTCAGATCCGTTCTCTCCATAGTTCTTATTTGCTCTTATGTTTTCTTCATCTGCATACCACTGCATCCATGGGATGCACTAACAAACTTTCTCAGTTGCTTCCTGTCACTCCTCTACCAGAGTCAGCCTCCAGACTGAATTGTTCCTGCAGCCAGTGGGGATTACCAAACCGCTTCACCCATCCTGCAATGGGACAATACATTCAACGTGTGCATTTGATGGCAGTATTTCTCCATCCCATCCAGGCCAAATCTTCAGCTGCTGA